GAGGATCGCGCTGCTCGGGACAATTTGCGAGGCGGCGCTGACGTTCTCGCGCAGGTCCTCCCGAACATCTTGACTTTGACCTTCGTGCTACTGCGGGGCCGCATGCCGAGCACTTCAACGTCGTTGACGTCGATGTTGCTGACGCAGATGCACATGTCGGCGCAGATGGGGTAGTGGACTTCCGCGCGGTGCTGGACATTCGCTACCCGTCCTTCGGCTGAATATTTTTGTGGATGAGCCTGATGATGTTAGCTCTCTGGTTTTGCTCGCGACGCGCGTTAATCAGCTGAGCGCGCAGTGGTTCCTTGCGAAGCTGTTCGTGGCGGTGTGGGCGAGGCGACTGGTCCCGATCTCGTTCCTGGCGCGGCCCCCCCTGCTCGCGCTGCTAGTGCTTTCGGTTTTGCCAGGCGGTATTGACGCGCTGCCTGGATGCGCGGGCGGGGCTCGTCGCGGTCCGGGGGTGCAACCGCGCGGCTCCCGGGCGGGCCCCGGGCAATGGGGGTCCCTCAGTTTTCCCGAGATCGTTCGGCCCACGGTTGACGTGACTTGCGCTGCAAGCGCTCTGCCCGCTGGCAGTGCTGCCGCACGTCGTGCCCACGTCAATCATGCTTCTGATGCTTGTGCTCATGCTCCTCGCGTCCCTGGTGCCGGAGGTTATGCCGCTGCTGCCGGGGGCGCCCCCTGGTGGCGCTCGCCCCGGGCAAATGGTTGGGCGCCGTCATGTGCGTTCGTCCCGGCGGCGCGCGCGCGCTCGGTGAGTGCATGGTGCCGTTCGTTCTCTACAGTCGCTCTTCGGATTCCTCCCTGTACATCCAGGGAGGAAGGCGCCTGCGCCCGCGCCGCGTGCCTCGGGCCCGCCGCCTCCGCCTGCGGCGCGGGCGCATGCCCGCGCCGCGTGTTTCGAGCCTACCGCCTCCTACTGCATCGCATTCGAGGGCGGCCACTAGTGTTGCTGTATCGGCGCTTCCTGTCGCGCCGCGCTCGGTTTCACTGCTTGCTCGTGGCTCTGCGTCGCCGTCGGGGTTGGCTCGCGAGACGAAGTCTGAAGTCACCATCTTCGTTTCGTCTCTTATTGGGGCGCACGCTCATTTTCACGACGCCACCAGGCGGCAAATGAAGGCCAGCATTGATGCGGAATGTCAGAAGGAAGCGATGTTCAGTCCAGCCTAGCCCCGTCCAGTCGCTGGGGAAAGCATGCCGCAAACTCTCGTGCACTTCCGGTCGCATCTCCAGCCCGGCGCCGCCGCGATCTTCGAGGAGCTGCCCCTCTTCAGAGGGAGCGTGGCATCGCGCCTGCGCCGGGTTGGCGCCGACCTCGCCGTCTTTCCTGCAGGGGGCTGTCGACGTCGAGCGGGGCCTCCGCCTGACTGCCGAGCATTGTGATGTCATCCTGGCGCCCTCCCTGGTCGGCGGGGTCTCGCGGCGCGTGGTGGCTGGCGCCTTGCGTCTCAGCTCCCCGTCCACGTCGCCGTCTTCCGCCGATGCTACTGCGCTACCGGCGCGGTCTAGTGCCGCGCTGCCCGTCCGCGCGGGCGGCTCCTCATGGTGTTTTGCCGCGTCTACAGCGACGCCGTGGGCGCGGTCTCGCGGCGCGCCCCCCGCCGGGGCGGGGGCCCCCCCGCGCTCCGGCGGCTCTGGCCTCGACAACTTCAACGCCGAGCTGAGCGGCTCGGCCCGAGGCGCGGCCTAGGCGAGGGGGGGGCATTCCAGCGGCGCTTGCTCCTCCTCCTCCTCCTCCTCCTCCTCCTCCTCCTCCTCCTCATCCTCCTCTCTTCCTCCTCTTCCTCCTCTTCCTCCTCCCCCTCCTCTTCCTCCTCCACCTCCACTTCCTCCTCCTGGGTGTGCGTCCTCGGCCGCGCCGTGGGCATCCAGCGCGAGCTCGCGCCGTCGCCCCCATCGCAGCACGTCTCGAGCCGTCTGCGCGGCGGCTAGATCTGCGCGGCGGCTAGAACAGGAGTCAGAACGGGCCGCCCGCCGCCGGGATGTCGCGTGCTCCCTGGAACGGGGGGGCCTTGCGCTTCTTGCGTTCGTTTCGGGGGAACGTGATATTCGAGCGCGCTGGAACTCGGATTGTCTGGCGCTTGTTGACGGGCGCTGGGCCTTGGATTTTGACGGCCCAGGTCTCCGGGGGGGCGCGTCATGTTTCAGACTGGGTCTCGCCGTTTTCTAGGCGACCCCGTGAGGCCAACCGGAGTCCCCCGAGCCCGAATCTCACGTCTGCCCGATCGGTTCACAACGTGTCGCGCAGGGCGCAGACGTGCTCTCGACGGTGGGCCGCCCGATGGGGTGAAGTGTGCGCGAGACGACCAAGTGGCGCAGGGGGCAGTCCGGCGCGAGTGGCTTGGAATGCCCCGCGGGGAGGCAGAGGGAAGCAACCGTGCTGGCCAGCATGGCCCTGGAACCGATGCCGCCAGCCTGGCCCGGCGCATTCGTCGCCCGCCCGCATCTTCGAGCTCGGCGCTTCCTGGGTTCCACGCGGGTTTTTTCGCCCGTTGAGGAACGAAATCTACTGGGCAATGGCGGGGCCTCCGGTCGTGCGCCGCAGATTGATATGGGCGCCATCGTTCAGGAGGGAGAGAGACACACAGACACAATTAACCGTCGACTCGCAGGACAACTTGGGAAAATATGGGAAGTGAGGGGAACACGAAAACCCAGAACATATGGGGAAATTGTGGGAATCCGACCTGGCGCCTGCGGCCGTGGACCTGGCGTGCGAGGCCGACCTGCTGAAAAATTCCCCGCCATCGCAGCGCCGACGGCCTCGTTGAAACCAGGGTCCGCCAGTCGTCAGTGCAGGTTGCTGCGTGGCACCCTGCACAGTCAACCCGCACAGGATGGACGGGCAACCTTCCCAAGGCTACCCTTGCATCCCTGCCTCCTCGGTCCATCCTTGGCCACTTTCGTTGGCCGCGGCCCGTTCGAAAGTGTCGACGTGGGGTTCCAAGGCCCTTGCATCCTTACCGCGCATCCTTACTATACGGGTTGACGGTACCATTCCAGACGCCCGTCCGCTGCTCTCTCCTACTTGGCCACGGATGGTGGAGCGGTGCGGCCCCCCGTGCTCGAGTCTGCGATGCTCGAGCGCCCCCCTGCAATCGCGAGTTTGGCGGCTTCGGCTGCTCGGGGGCTGAGTTGGCGCGATCGGAATGCAGCTGGCTGCAACGATTTGTCATCGCGTGCGCCGCGGCTTTGCGCGTGGCATCCGGAGTGGATGCGACGCGGTGGAATCGGGTGCGCGGCGCCCGGCACTTAGTTCCGCAGAGACCACTAGAATCCGCCGCAGGCGGCGACGTTTCGTCGTGGGCCGACGTCTGCATCGGCGCTATGGCCATCGTGATTCCGCGCTCGCCACCGACGGTGCCCGGTGCCCGCGACGAAGCCTGGAAGAAGGCTTCCGCCAGAGGCTTCGCGGACGATTTTGGCCAGGCGGCGCAGCATGTCGCTGCCCTCGCGGAGATCGATCGGCTCGCCTTCCTCAAGACCTGCTAAGCGGTCTGCGGCCACGTTGCCGGGAGGTTGGCAGAAGCGGCCATCGAGGCTTGCGAAGCATTGCGAGTGATTCATCCCTCGCGGAGGGATGCGAAGTATGAACAGCGAGCTGTCCGTGGAGCGAACGGAGAAAATTAAAGGAACGCGCAGACTCAGCACCGGGGCGCGCTGACGTGCAAGCGAGCGTTTCTCGCGCCACCCCGACGTCAACTGCTGGTTCGCGTCAACGTCCAGCCAGCGGGCAGCCGCGCGGCGCAGTTCTACCGCCGGCGCGACCTGGTGAGCTGCCGCGTCGACCCATGCAAGCTGCCGCGTCGACCCCGGGACTCCTTTGGCATGGGCGATGATTTCGGCCCCGCGCGCTGGGTGCCGGGGGCGCCGTTGTGTAGTTCAACGCGCGCGATGCTTCCATTGCCCTCCACGCGGAGCGATTCACCCAGCGGCACGGCGAGGACTGCGGCGCCCTCGAATACCTCGCGGGCTAGGAGGTGAGTCTGGATGTCCTCGCCGAGGGATGGTGGCCCACGTGGCTGCGGGAAATATGGAGAAAATGCCGCTTGCGCTCTTCTACACCGTGACATCCTTGCCCGCGAGGTAGCGGCGCTGATTTCTAACACCTCCGGGGGGGAAACATCTGCAGCGACAGGGGGCCGCGTCTGGCTGCGCACAAAGGAGGTCGACCAATCCTGCCAAGTAGTCTCATCAAGTTGTTGGAGTCCGTCCTGTTGGAGCCTGGCCCTGGCCCGCAACTGGTGGGTCGCGGCCTGAGCCGTATCAGGCCGCGGCGAGGACCTGCAGTCAAGGACCTGCAGTCGAGGGCCTGTCCCTCTACAGGTGGGGTGTTCAAAATTAGTCAAAACATAGTACGGGGGACTTTTTTTTAGTATCTCTTAACCAATTGAGTGTATTGTTTGAGGTTGTTCTATGTTTCGTTGAAGATCCCTCTGCAGGGGGACATGCCCGACTTGACAGAAGGAGGATCGTTGGGGCTCGGATGAGACTCGCTGTTCTTTTTCAGCCTTCCATGGCCGATCCTCCAGCGCCCCATCGAGCACCCAGGCGCTCCTGCGGCTGAGAAGGGGGGCTCAGCTCCGCGGCGAGTGTCCGCGGGGGGTCCGCCGAGTTTGATTGCGGCAGCACACTCAATCGTCCACATGTTAGGTTTGCGTCTTATCCTGGGCAGTTCTGTGTGTATGTGGCTTACTTGTGCTGTGTGTGTTGTCAATGTATGAGAGGTGCGCTTCTGGACCAGAATCGTCATCAGGCTCTGACTCCTCGTGTGCATGGATGCTGCCACTTGGCCGTCCTCATCTGGCGCTCTATTCATCGTTCGGTTCTGTCACGTTCGAGGGCGCCATGTGGCCGAGGTGCAGGACATTGCTTCAGCAACCTCGCTAATCAATCCTCGTTGCAGAGATGCTTGTAAAGACTGCCTGCAGCCTGGTATCGAGACAGTTACCATGAATGAGCTTGCCAGTCGCTGCTCAACGCTTGTTTCCCCAGCAGAGGCGATGATCCACACGCGGATTGTCGACAAGGGTGCGACGGATGAGCGCTTGAACGAGGCGAGCCCGCGCGCATGCTTTTCATGCACGCGAGCCTCGGTCGCGTATATATATATATACATATATATATATATCTATATATATATATTGGTATATTGGTATGGGCATACATTCTCATATGTATACAAGTGTACTAAATTATATGTGCACGTGTATACATATAACCAGTTGGAATTACACATGCACGTGCGTGCTGCATTCTGTATGTATGTATGTAAGTATGTCTATATATGTATGTTTACGTACACGCTGCATGGACACATCACCGTCGTTCTTAGTTGTGGGGGGGGGGGGCGCGGCACCTTGATTGTAATGTGTGTGCCAGTATGTATGTATGTACGCATGCATGCATGCATGCATGTATGTATGTGTGCATGCATGTGTGTATGTATGTTTGTATGTATGTATGTATGTATGTATATATATATATATGTATGTATGCGAGTGTGTGTGCTCGGGTTTGCCACTGCGTCCGGTATGGCGGTTACGTCGTTGCCAACCTTTCGTTTTCCCATATCGTGCGCTCTACTGGAGATTCTACAGGAACGATCGGCTATCTCCGTGTCAGGTGGGTGAGGGACTGCCGCAAGTGCTCAGTGTCCGAGGGGATGATATTCATTGCAATGTGTGCCACTGGTGAGGCAATCTGCACTCTAGTGGTGCATGCTGCCGCGTGGTGAGCAAGCATCTCGTCTTGGACCCCCCAACTCTTGAATGTGTACCTTGTCTAAGGATGACGGAATGAGAGACGCCGCCGCCGTTTAAGGTATTCGGGGAGCTCATGCGATTCTACTAGTAGTTGTTGGTGCGTTTGCTGTCTGCTTTTGTCGACCACCTTTGTGTGGGTGCTTACCTTCCTGCATGTCTCCAAATCTTACCGCGGGGCTCATCTTTATTCAAAACTTGCGCCTGGCAAGACATGTTGGCTTGTAAGCCCTGGAAGCAGGATCGACGCCGCTGTCTCTAGTTCAGTGGCGACAGCAATGTCGGACACCCCTCCCTGGATTTCAATGTTCAACTCCCGTCTGTCAGTGGAAGCATGGGACTGGCCTACTGGCCTTTCAGTTGCCAAGCAAGCTGAGGTGCACGATTACAAGCTCAACACCAAGGGAAGATTGATACGGGACGAGTACAAGCGACTGACTTATGAGCAAGAGCAGGCTGCACCATGTTTGCATCGTCTTTATTGTTGTATGCCTTGTCCGGACCTTCCTCTGTTGCCCAGTTTCTACCGTTGACATTATTGCCACTATGTGTTATTTGCCAATCAGTACACAGCTATCGAAGGTGCCTCCAGTCAATCGCCGCCGCCCTCTGTCTGTCCGGGAAGCTCACGTCGGAGCATCTTGACACCGTGGCACCTTTTGGGGTCTCGAGGTCTGGTCTTAGGGGGTCTTTCTTCTGGGAGCGCGAAGCCGTTAGTCCTCGGCAAAGCCAGGTGAAGTCCAGTGCCCGCCGGTTGCAGTCAGCTGAGCTGAGCCGAGCTGAACTGAACGTCAGGGGACGGTTCGGGCGATGGGCCTCCCGCGGGCGCAACCGCAGCCGCACCTGCAACAGGGCGACGCATCTTGGGCCGCCCGCGGATGCAGCCGCAGCCGCAGTTCTAATCGGGCGACACATTACGGGCCGTCCGCGGGAACAACCGCTTCCGCAGCTGCAACCAGGAGACAGATTCTGGGCCGCCCGCGGGCGAAACCGCAACAGCGCCTGCGCTTGGGCGACGCATTTTTGGCCGCCCGCGGGCGCAGCCGCCACTGCAACCAGGAGACAGATTCTGGGCCGCCCGCGGGCAGAACCACAACCGCAATTGCGACCGGGCGGTGCAAGAGTGCGGGGAGGAGGAGGCCGAGGAGGGGGCGGAGGAGGAAGGGGATGTGCAGGAGGAGGTGCAGGAGGAGGAGGAGGAGGCCGAGGAGAAGGGGGATGTGCAGGAGGAGGTGCAGGTGCAGGTGCAGGTGGAGGAGGAACAGCATCAGCAGCAGGACGGGAAGGCGCTGAGGGCCAGGAGGAGGAGCGGGGAACGGAGGATGTTCTGGCGGAGCAGCAGCAGCATGGGTTGCAAGATGACGAGGAGAAGGAGAAGAAGAAGTTTCCACAACAGCCACCAAACCACACTGCAAGCAGACCTCCCCACAGCAGGCAGCCTGAGCTGCCGTCTCGGGGAGGCTGATCCAAGACTCCAAGCAGCCCCAGGTCAATGAGTGAAGGGGAATGCTACTCTTGGGATGCTTTCTTGAGGATGCAAGACCACGTATGACGGCGTCGGTTGTCGCGCAGTTCCGCAGTGAGGTGTCCCAAGCGCTTTCCACGGAGTCCCTTGACTTGTCCCCCTGAAATGCCGTTGCAACATATGGCGCATGTGTCTCGTGTACCTTCACCGTTTGTTGGTGCCAACGTGCGCAGGCCTCTGATCGCGATCTTTCAAAGTCTGGCCTGAGGTGCCTTTGCTCGTCGTCGCACCTTTGCACCGATCAGGCCTCGGCTTCCAGGGCCCTCTGGCCGCACGGAAGCACGCTGAACAGATCCAACGCCTTTCTTCCCAGTGCCCGTCGTGAGGGGGCGGATGGGACGGTCTCAGAGCGGAGGAAGGCTTCTCCCAGGGGGCTCCCGTGGGGTCCAACCTGGGCCAACGAGCTATCACTTGGGCAAGAAGCTTGCACACGACACGCCAGACACGCAGTGTACGGGCAAGTTGTTCAACCTCATTAGGCGATGGCTCCTGGTGCCGCAGAGCAGTGGCCTTTGCCGCCTTGTCAGCGAGGTCGTTGCCGTATTTCGGTTCAGTGTGCTCTGGTGTGAGGTCAGGGCTGTCGGCCACATTGCCTCAGACCTTCAGGACCGTCCCCGTTCTGTGACTCAAAGCTTGGAGCATGAATCCAGCATATCAGAGACTGGTCTTGACACACTCCCGGGCCTGGTGCACAACGTTTTATACACAAACAGTGTGGACGTTTTCAGGACCTCTGCCACATACTGAACGGCCACTCGGTAAGCCGCAACATCTGAAGCCCGTGTGGTCTAAGGCAAGTGGGCAAGGAGTGGGCCCGATATACACTGCACATGCCCCGTCTCTTCGGTGGCGGGAGCGACAGACCATCCAGCCCTGGAGAGTTCTGGACTCACACCCCTGCGGCATGAGCCACCATCCACACACAGCCGGCCCTCCAGGGCCGTCGAATCGTATCCAGCATTCTCAGGCCACTCAACCTTGAAGCCAGGCTCGGGCCCTTCGATTTGGCCAGCAGGTCTAGGAAGGTGATCTCCTGGGCGCGCACAAAGCCCACGAGTGAACAGTCACTACTCCGCTAGTAACCGCTCTCGAAGAGGGACGCGGAGAGACTCACGTTCATATATTTTCCGAACGTCCCCTTCCACTCCTCCTCTACCATAGGGCCATGCCAGACGCGATGTATCACGCTGTCGGGCGCTCCACACCCGAGAGGACAGGAAAGGCCCTCCACTTCAGCTGGTATCCTCCTGCTGCTGCTGCTGCTGCTGCTGCTGCTGCTTTGTCTGTGCACCAATCTGCATGGCATGTTTCTGCCTTGATGCACCCTTTCTGGTAAGCGGTGAACGTCCTGAACCGCAGCAGTGCACGCATCTGGTCATGACAAATCCTGGTCGGCTGGGACAGGCGGGGCACCAGCTTAACGCCTAGTCTCTTCTCATGCAAGTGAACGTGGCCAGCCTGAGGTGCCCCTTGAGCAGGGCGGGCGACATGAGAGTGAGGGGCAGCTTGGTACCGAATTGGGCAACCATGGCAGTGAAGCCGAGCATAGACCAGCCTATGGCGAGGCCGAGCTTCATGGCGGAGATGGGGGCCTTGGCTTCCTTCCAGTTGTCAGGTCCTGGTCTTGGACAAAACAGATTGCCATGCATCTCTGAGCTCCTTCCAGGATAGCGTAATACTGAAGGTGCTCAGGTTGGTCCCCCACACCTCTTTGGAGTGCCTGAGGACGGGCGCAATGGAGCCACAGTAGGTGGGGTCCTTGTCGGGCACCAGGGCGGAGGTCAATGAGCTGGAACCCAACGTCGGCTCAACCAAGGCTTGGCAATACCTCATCCATGATGTCAGGCTCCATGTACTTCACATCCATAAGAAATCCTGGCAGGGGAGGGGGCGTGGTGATAAAACAGCTTTCTCGTCTGCCGTCCTGGGTCCTGTCGTATCTTGTGCTGCCTGTGCGTCTTGACCTTACGATGAGCCGTCCGAAGCCGAACAACCCTGGAGCACTTGGGGGCCCTTCCAGGCCTTCCCGAGGTGCGACCAGACCGAAGGTTGTTTGCATACGAATCATTTTTCGTGCCTGCACACGCGCCGAGCGTCCTGCGCAGCGCCATGGCCATGCACTTCTGAGAGGCAACATGGTGGGCTTTGTGTTCATAACTGCCGCCACCAAGCTCGTCGACTATGGTATCTCGAAGCTGCTCTGCTGCCAGCGCGAGGCCATCCATACCATGGGACGGTCTGCCTGATGAGGCTAGCCCGTTGCCGTCTATGTTGACGTCGAGCGGAACAGAAGGTGGGATCTTGGCACGGTCAAGCGGGTCAATGATACATTCTTCACCATCGTCGTGGCCAGCGGGCAGCCAGCAATATTTTCTAAGTTGGCAATGTTCGCTCCCACCACGAAGCCACCTAGGCTGACGAACCTGGCACAGCGATACATGGAACTTGCCATATGCGAAATGGTGGGGTCACCACCGCGCTGGCTGCATTTGGCAAGCAGGAGTTCGAGCTTGATGGTTTCAAACAGTTTGTAAAGGTCCCACAGTAGAGTGGCCGACACAACACCTTCGTTCACCGCCGTCTCCGGTCGGTCAGCGTGCCTCCACACCACATCAGCGGAGGAGGTAAATTCTTCCGAGGCAAAATCAAACACTCTGTTTTTCTGCTCCTTTCCATGACTCTGCATACGCACTTCTCCCTCTACCCCACAGCTGTTACATCGGGCAGAAGAGGCAACAAGGTCTGAATCCGCTGGCCTGCCTGGCCAGCAGCGAATTGATGGTGAGGCTAGCCTAAACAGGCATGAGGCTGCTGACCGCCATGGCATTATGCATGGTCGCCAGAATCTCGAGGGAGGGCTCTGAGAGAGATGCGAGGTGTCTCAAATCATTCGTTGATCATCGGCTGGCCGCGTCCCTCTCTCTCTCTCTTTCTCTCACTCTCGCTTCCTCTCTCTCTCTCACTCTCTCTCTCTCTCTCCCTCCTCCTCCGCCTCCTCCTCCTCCTCCCTCCTCCTCCTCCCTCCTCCTCCTCCTCCTCCTCCTCCTCCTCCTCCTCCTCCTCCTCCAGGGTACCTTAACTCCTCCTCCTCCTCCTCCTCTCTCCTCCTCCTCCTCCTCCTCCTCCTCCTCCTCCTCCAGGGTCCCTTAACTCCTCCTCTCCTCCTCCTCCTCCTCCTCCTCCTCCTCCTCCTTCTCCTCCTCCTCCCTCCTCTCTGTCAAGCCAAGGAGGCCGTCCATAGAGGTCGTCGCCTTGTGTCGAGCTAACCTCCTGTAGAGAGGCCAGGGAGCGGCGTAAGCCTCGAGCTGGGCAGAGGAGGAGGAGGAGGAGGAAGAGGAGGAGGAGGAGGAGGGGGAGGAGTAGGAGGAGGAGAAGGGGGAGGAGGAGGAGGAGGGGAGGAGGAGGAGGAGGAGGAGGAGGAGGAGGAGGAGGAGGAGGAGGAGGAGAAGGAGGAGGATGACTCCTCCGACTCATCTTCGTCGTCCTTCTCCTCCTCCTTCTCGTGGTCCCCTTCCTTCTCCCCCTCCCTCCTCCGAGGGGGGATGGGGAGGAGGAGGAGGAGGAGGAGGACCACGAGGAGGAGCAGTATACGAAGGGGGAGCGAAAAGGGGACCGGGGATGGAAAGAGGGTGACAATGAACAGAAGAAGAGGCACCTTTGGTGGACGTTGGGGGCCGTTGCTGGGGCCCTCGGTCGTGCTCCCGAGCTCACGTAAGCGGCCTCTGGGCGTTGCCCGCGGTTCTCCGCCGGGACATTGTAGAGAGGAGTCCTCATCACACGCTGCTGCCTTTGATTTCGCGAGAGACCGTGACCCTGGCTGCCCAGAGTCAGATAGCTCGCGAGGGGTCCGAATCATACTTGCGTGAGCCCGATGCGTTTTGCAAAGTGCACGGTAGATTCGTGCCGTGTCGACGCGGTTGCGACCCCAGAGCGGGCGTTTGAACGCCATCAGTGGTTCAGAATCAGCCAATATGGAACGATTTGGCGATCGAAAGTCGCCGATCGTTCAAGGTTGAACGATCCACGCAGTGTCAGAATCCAACGCTGGAGTCGCCGCGACACGAACCCGCCGTAGTGGCCATAGGAGCGTACGCGGGATTCTGGTTCCGGCGCTGTCGTGCCCCACCAGCCAGAAGCGCAGTGCGTGGAGCAACGATGATGAGTTTACGAACGCATTGCAGGCTCGGGCTGTTTCCCCTTTTTCTCGCATGTGATTTCTCACCCCCAATTCCCGAAGTTCCAATCAACAACTGGCCAGCGGGGGCGCATGCAGGATGCAGTATGTGGGGAGTGCCAGCCAGAGATTGCGAGAGAGTGTACGAATATCTTTAATCGAAGCTGTGATCCTTGCATTGCATTTGTAGCGGTACCTGGTTGTTGCGCGCAGTCCCTTCAGCCGTTGCCCTTCTGTCCGTTGCCATATGCGCGGGATTCGCGGACGAACTTACGCCTTGGCATTCGCCCTCCACACCATTATGTTGCGTTCTTCTTTGTTATTGTTGCTAATTTGTGTTCGACGTGCCTTTACGCAGTGCTCGCTGGGGTTAGCAAGACTCACGCCCGCCCGCTCCATTCTCTTAGGGTGCAACTCCTGGGAAGTTACACTTGACTTCGGCGCTGGCATATCCGTGGTCGAAGCTTGGGTCAATAGTTTACAATCTCCCGTTTGATTCCGATTTTGCCCCGTGCAATCCAGCGCAATCTTGGGCTTAATCCGGCTGGATGCTGCAGTGTGGCCCTTTCAATCAGGCCTACGAGCCCTGAGTTGTTCCCACGAAGACCTCCCAGGAGTTGCCCACTAGCCCAATGAAATGCTCGCTGGGGCCCAGTGGACTCGCGTCCGCCCGCTCTCTTCCCTTCGATGCAGGCGATTCACGACGCCAACGCCCAGATTGTCCTCGAGAAGCAGGTGGGTGAGCGCAGAGAGAGAGAGAGAGAGAGAGATATTCATAGGTGTATATATATGTGTATATATATAGAGAGAGAGAGAGAGAGAGAAAGAAAAAAAAAGAGAGAAAACAAAGAGGTCACCGTCCTCGTAACCATCCCCACCCACCAGGGTAGGGTGAGTTGGCTCTACCCGCGTACCCCCTCTAGCATGGGATGGGTGCTTCGAAACCCGGAGGAGTCGGCACCCGTCCCCACCTATGAGGGGTGGACCAGCTGGGCGGAGGCTTCCCCAGTGGGTGTGGGGACTGCTTCCTGTCCAGAAGATCGGCGGCGAGCGAGGGGGGAAGATGAGAAGTGGCGGGCCTACTCTGAAGGCTCAGAGAGTCCCGCCACCTTCTGAGAAGGCTTTCTCCTTTTCACTTCCCTCCCCCGCTCGCCGCCGAACAGCGGAGAGCCCCGAGAAAAAGCAGCCACACCAAACGGCCCCGTGCCCGCAGGTCGCCCGCTGCCTGACCCGAGGCTGCCTGCACGCTCGCAAACACGATCTTTTCGAGGGTGGGTGGGTGGAGGAGGAGGAGGAGGAGGAGGAGGAGGAGGAGGAGGAGGAGGAGGAGGAGGAGGAGGAGGAGAAGCGGAGGAGGAGGCGGAGGAGGAGGCGGAGGCGGAGGCGGAGGCGGAGGCGGAGGCGGATGCGGAGGCGGAGGCGGAGGCGGAGGCGGAGG